AAGAGAGGAAGAGAGAGAGAGAGAGAGAGAGAGAGAGAGAGAGAGAGAGAGAGAGAGAGAGAGAGAGAGAGAGAGTTACCATCGATAGGATGAGCAACGCACCAGCCAACAGGTAATTCTCTAACCCCGCAAAGTTATTTTCACCCTTCCCTCCCGGTACTTCTTCACTATCGGTCCCTCGCATGTATTTAGCCTTGTTGGATGAGACTTCCCACCCAATTGGGGCTGCATTCCCAAACGACCCGACTCTCCGACAACACCTCGTTGCGCAGCAGGATCCGGCGGGCAATGGCGTTGTCACCCTTTTCGGTGTCGTCCCCTTCTAAGAAACCTGCATGATATACACTGCCACGATTTTTTTTTTTTTTTTTTTTTTTTTTTTTTTTTGAGAGAGAGAGAGAGAGAGAGAGAGAGAGAGAGAGAGAGAGAGAGAGAGAGAGAGAGAGAGAGAGAGAACAGGTAAGTTTCCAACCTCGCGGATGACCTCATGCTACTTCAATCGATAGGATGAGCAAAATCGAATGAATTTACCGCTAGAACATGGAAATATACACTGGCACACGTGTGTGTGTGTGTGTGTGTGTGAGAGTGAGTGAGTGAGTGAGAGAGAGAGAGAGAGACTTCTCATCCGATCAGGGTTGCATTCCCAAATAACCCGACTCTTCGACAACAACTCGTTGCGCAACAAGGTCCGATGGTCGGCGGCGTTATCACCCTCTTCGGCGGCGGCCCCTTCTAGGGAACCTGCACACTACCCCCCCCGGATTTTCAGTATGGCCTATTCCCGGTTCCCTCGCCGCTACCGAGGAAATCATCCTCCAGAACATAGGACAATACACCGTCATTTTTTCTTTTTTCCTTTATACAACATATGGTGAGTATCAGGTCGAGGCCGACTGTCACACAACCCTTTTGGTCGCTCTTTTGACTGGACCGTTACTAGACTGCACAAAAGGTCCAGTTTTTGGCCTGCGGACCTTCCCTTCCGGATAGGTTCTAAGAGGGTGGTGCGTGTATCGTGAAAACACTCATGAAACCTGGAAGGTGGAGTTCCACGCATTATTACAGCGTCTGCACTGTACTTGATTTAAACCACTAGTAATTGACCCAACTATCGATCGAGGAAAAAATTAGAGTAGAAACGTTTCTAGTTGAATGAATTTGGGCGCTCCTGTAATGACCCGTACGTTTTCTAAAATTGTGGTTTGTTAACAAACACGACTTTAGGATCCTCAAAGAACGGGCAGTGGAGCACAACCCTTAGCTCCTTGGCTTACTCAGCCCCAATTCATTGGCTGGATACAAAGTTATTTCCACTTATACAAAGGTATTTAACCCCCCAACATCTTTCTCAAGCAAAGAAAAGCCCGCCGTTAACACAGAGAGCGGCCCCGAGCAGGCGGGTCAGCCAGGTACATCCCAAATGCTCGGTGTGCAGGGCCCGCGACCGACATATGGGAAACGGTACTGACGGTTTAATCGACCTTGAGCGTCGTAAGTGCCTCCATTGCCGCCAGTTGGTCGCCCACTCCTTCTGGCAACACCCCCAACAGTAGCTCCTTCGACTATTCTCACGATTTTGTTGATCATTTTGGAGAGATGAAGAGGTTTTGCAGGGGAAAGAGATAGCCGATGTTCCGCAGACAGAACGCATGATATCCCTATAGCGAGGGTGATGGTTAACCTAGACAGGTCCTACCGTATAGTGCATAACGTGTTCGAGTAGCGCTTTGTGGCACTCCATTCCCCCCCACCGCCATTCACGTGACCTTCCTGCTAGGAAGAATATCGGCATGCCAGTACATTGCGCCAGACAGTGCACAATGCGAATTGTACAAAAATGGTTGAGAAATCACTGAACTGACGAACCCCAGTTAATTCATAATTATTTTCTTCTGCTCGTCTGATTGTACTCGATTCGAACGTTGGTCTGCATTTCCACAGTTCACAAGTGTACCAACAGAGACGGGCCTGTTGGCTCCGCTGTGAAGATTTTGGCCTATCTCCTCGCTGTGTTTGTGGTCGAACTGGGAAATGAAGTTCTTCCCCCTTTTTAAATTGAAAAGACTTTAACCTCCCAACTAAAGCTCTCGGTTGGTTCGAGCCACGGTAGGCTAACAACAGACAGACAGTGGGGAGGGGGGTGGAGAGTGTCGCGTTCTATTGGGGAGTCCGGTGTGCTCGGCTCCAACGAACCACTGGTAGGTTGGTTATCAGGCCATCTCTAGGCCTGTGTATTAGGATCACATGTAGAGCCTTCCCTCTTCCCTCCGCTACCTTTCCCTCTCTCCACTCAGGCCCACCTACCTCTCTTTCCCCCCACTTCCCCACTCCTCTTCCCTAACCATCAACTCTACCTCAACCTCCATTTTATAGGATCCTTACACTCAGACAGTTTATCAGCAGTAGAATAACTCATGCTACAAAATCATATTGATGTGAGTCGGGTCCT